AGTTATAGTTTCTTAAGTCTAGGGATCATTTCTAATGGGGGTACTAAAGCTTATGTATTTTAAATTTATTTATGTAGCTTAGGCGAGTTTTTAACACACGAGAGGGGGGGGGGGTTGAGTTCTAACAAGTTTTAGGTTGGCATGCTTATCTTTTTATGTTTTAGGTCTTAAAAGAGATAGGGTAAAGGAACCAAGCAAAAATTGGGTGCTAACAAATATGCCATCGAACTAATGCAAAGAAAGCTAAATGAAAAACCTTATAACGAGGACTAATTCTAGCACAAAATCTTTTTTCTAGTATTTTGGTAATACGTCCGTATCCCCCATAGCCGTTTGAATAGTGCAACACCACACTAATAACACTCTCCCCAAGGTTAGTGGTTGTAGGAATTGAATGTATGTCTCTATTGGAACAAACTAGTTAACGTACTAATTGAGCTACACACTTTTTCTAATGCCAAATTGCTGATAGACATACTAAACAGAGATAGACACGATACATCTTGAAAAGATTGTCCACCTACTTCAGCCTTTTTGGATCTTACTATTTGGTCTTGCTGGGTCCTTTTCCTACAACACCACCTGGCGTTTCAAGATGTTGCCACAATGTGAGATGATTTCCAAAATGCCTTCTTAGTGTTGCCAGAAAAGAAGAAGAATGGGCCTTAGGTTGTGAAAAGGCCTTAATGAAATGAAGAGATGCAAAAGTGGTTCCCAGTGAGAGAGACACAACCAACCTCCTAGTCTAAGTTTCTTTCCCCAAATGTACTCCTTCCACCCTTATTTATAGAGTAGGGAGAAAATAAAATTAAATAATATTTTAGAAAATGAAATAAAATGTGATATGATGATCATAATGAGTTTTATAAGAAGAGTACGAAATACTCAAGAGATCATTTCAACACATTTTCATTCAAATGATCAAAGTCTCATTATGGCCCTACACTACCTATGGGTCATGTCAACCCTCTAGGGCACCACAAATACGATAAAAACCATTATTTTATTCAGTGTATGGCAAATGGCATCCTTCCACATCAGCCATATTGGTGGTGGGATCCCCAACTTGTGCACTTGTCTAAGACATGGACACCAGGGCATTCCAACATGCATTTAGTTGCTCTCCATCATGTGAAGTAACCTTTGGGGCATGTCTTCCCAACCTCCAAATTAACCACTTTCTCACGTAAAAGGTAAATGAGTAGATGTCAACTCATAAAAAAGCTAGCATAGGGCATCCACCTTGGGCTTATTGGGTAACCAAGTTGAATTAGACCCATAGGTTGAAGGTTTCATGTTGAGGTGGGTCTCTAGGTCGAAGATTCCAGATTGAAGTGGGATTGGACCTTAAGGCCCAGTTTGACTCTAGGTCGAACTAAACATCTAGAAACACAATGTTAGGTCTAGATAAGTATAAAGGTCCCAAATTATTGAATTATGAGGGTCTATGCCAGCTCCCTTTTGTTTTCTTGAAACAGAGTTATACTCATGGCTAGTGTGCCAAAAATATGTACTACAATTAAAAAAAAAAAAATCAGAATGTTCTGGCACATATAGGTTGTGTTTGGTGGTACCATTGATGTTTGTACTTGAAACGTTTTTTGGGTTGGTCAATACAAATTGGGAGATATGTGGTTACATCACATATGAGAATTACTTTAACTAGAATGATTAGACTTTACCATCTCGATCATGAAACATCAATTTGATGTTTTTAGAAACAACCTCTCATACATGCATTTTTAATATATAACTATTTTAATCATAAATAGCCTCAAATAATAATTATACAACAATTTATATTGATCACCAGAAAATGTTTTTAATAGAAATAACAATAGTACTGATGTATCGATTTCTGGTCACGTATCATTTTTTTTTGGCTAAGTACTTCATCATCTCGTCTGCTCCCAAGTGGCCGATGATTCAGAGGCTGAAATGGAGCTCCCTAGTGTAGTGCAACCCATATTGTAGCCCTTAGGCTCTGGGGGCAACTTATAGTCCACTTTTGTTGATTTTGTCAATGCCAAAGAGGCAATTGTGTCTTAAGTGCCCATGCCAAGGAGGCGACTGGGACTAGCTCGCCCATGCCGAAGAGGCGACTGGGTCTTAAGTGTCCATGCCAAGGAGGCGACTGGGACTTGCTCACCCATGCCGAAGAGGCAACTTGGTCTTAAGTGTCCATGCCAAGGAAGCGACTGGGTCTTAAGTGCCCATGCCGAGGAGGCGACTGGGACTAGCTCACCCATGCCGAAGAGGTGACTGGATCTTAAGTGCCCATGCCGAGGAGGCGACTAGAACTAGCTCACCCATGTCGAAGAGGCGACTAGATCTTAAGTGTCCATGCCGAGGAGGCGACTGGGACTAGCTTGCCCATGCCGAAGAGGTGACTGGATCTTAAGTGCCCATGCCGAGGAGGTAACTGGGACTAGCTCATCCATGCCGAGGAGGCGACTGGGACTAGCTCGTCCATGCCGAGGAGGCGATTGGGACTAGCTCGCCCATGCCGAAGAGGCGACTGGGTCTTAAGTGCCCATGCCGAGGAGGCGACTGGGATTAGCTCACCCATGCCGAAGAGGTGACTGGGATTAGCTCACCCATGCCGAAGAGGCAACTGGGTCTTAAGTGATGAGGAAGTCTTTTATCAGTTCGTCAGTTCGCGCCTGGGCCAGGCCTCGCGCAAGTCGCCGGGTGGGCGCCTTAGAGCTATGATTGCGCTACATCAGCCTCGTAATGCCGGTCACCCACTCCTACAAGAAGCTACTAGGAGCTCGAACTTCGGGGGCAGCACTACTAACTTTAGGTCGCCAGCTCACACGGGAGCCTTGGAAGGTTCGACCAGTAAGGGCGCCCATGTAGTCTATTGGCCGCCAACTCTCACAGGAGCCACGAAGAGCTCATCTTTGTAGAGGGGACCTCACGAAGAGGACTGATGAGGTTTTATCTGAATTGAAAGTAAAGTTGGTAGAGTTGCTTAGTCTGTTAGCTCCCTTCATAGTCTTTGAGTTCATAAAAATGGAAACTATAAAGCGAGAGCTTCAGTTTCTAAAAAGTGAGGACTTAACTTTCTGGGAGAAGAGGACTTAGCTTTTTGTAGCGTTTCCCACAGACGACGCCAAATGATGTATCGATTTCTGGTCACGTATCATTTTTTTTTTGGCTAAGTACCTCATCATCTTGTCTGCTCCCAAGTGGCCGATGACTCAGTGGCTGAAGTGGAGCTCCCTAGTGTAGTGCAACCCGATTGCTCCCTGCAAGAGATGATCTGCTCATCTTTGTAGACGGCGGGAACTGAAGATCCTGCAAGAACTGAATCAGAGAACCCGGGGGTGTTTACCCGGCGAGGTCACTCCAATGGCTAAGTCAGCACTTAGTAGTGAGCTGAGAATGATATTAGAGAATGAGAGAGCTAGAAAGCAGGGGTTACCATCCTCTCCTCGCCCCTGGGGGGTGAGGCCTTTATATACTAGAGTCCTCGTGGGTTTGGTGGAGTAGTTCCTAGATTCCCGCTGTGATGGGACTTGCTTTCATGTTAGGTGGGCATAAAGCCATCAATCGGTAAGGTTGCCCATTTCCGCCTAAATCGGGGAGTGGGTGAGCTAATATAGTCGTTACAAGTCACAATCCCGTAAAACGCGGGGTACAGTGGTGAGCTCCTTGGGGTTGTCATGTGGTGATCGGTCTGACTAAGAGGCGAGCTACCTGTAAGTGGCGAGCTGCCTGTGCAGTGCCGAGTTGTCTAAGTTGTCGGGCTACATGATGGTGAGCTACTTGTGGCGAGCTGCCTGTGAGTGGCGAGTTGCTTGTGGCGAACTACCTGTAAGTGGCGAGCTACCTATGGCGAACTGTCTAATTGTCATGAGGCTGCACTTAGTTGTCATAGTGTCATTGGAGGGCCAAATCCGCCCTCATCAAGTACCAAACACAACCATAATTGCTAACAATGTATGTAAGAAAAATAGGAACTTGGGCTATCAAATACTAATCCTAGTATGGATTTCCAGCTATTTACTTGCACTATATATTGATGTTAGGCTATATTTGATTTGAAAGAAAAAGTAGGGAAAAGAGAAAGATAGAGGAAATTTTTACAAATTTTGTATAGATCTTTATACCTTTTGCTTCCTTTCCCTACCTTTTCCTCAAAGCAAACATAGCCTGATGAAAGGCTTTGGTGTTGATTAAAAAACATAATCATACATTTGAAGTTTTGTACCCGGCCTTTGCCTGCTGGCTGGGAGGCAGGACTACTATCTGATATTTGGGTTTAGAACCCTACCCTATTTCGTCTGTAAAGCAAGCAACCAGGCCTTTGCCGTCCGATTATTTTAATCCAACTACCCCTCTCACGTGATTGAATCATTTTCCTCCTGAAAATTTGAAAAAATATACCTTATCAGAGTCTGGATCTGCTCTTGTTATTATTTCCTCCGCTGCATGTCAAGGATTTTAGTAAGCAGGTTAAATGAATACTTGAAAAATGTTTTGATAATTATTAAAAATGGGTATTAATCTTTTTTTAAGAATAGATTACGAGTATTTTAGGAAACAGGTATCAAAAAAATTTCTAAATACTCATTTATGCTTACAACGTCGTACTTATCCAACCTGTATTGAAGACTTACACACTTTCAGAGGCTCAATTTGGAAGAAATATAAATACAAATATATATATATATATAGTATAAATACATACAAATGCATTTATACAGAATATATAAATGCATTTGTACTCCTTCCAAACGAACCGTAAATGTACAATCCTGAGTCCTGATCCTCCAATCTTTTGTTATCGTGGAAATGTAATAAAATATGGGGATTTAATCCAAATCCAATGGCTATCAATTCACATAAAGTTTGACCCAGGTGGACCAGCAGCAGCAGGGGCCAGGGGGTCTTCTCTTCTTTCCGGTGGTCCCCTTCTTTAAAGGTGTGAAACGTCGTCCCGCTCCCACTTCTTTTTTAACTTGATGGTTGTTGATACACGCTCCGTTTGGTTCATCTTCGACCTGCACTACCCTACGCAGTACGCATAACGCACCATTCGTTAAAAACTTATCGTCAACCATCAGCCAAACGTCACATCCACACCCTCTGAATCGAATCAACCCCCCCTCCCTCTCTCTCTCTCTCTCGGTACAAAAATCTAAAGAGCCGGCCCGGCAACCGAGCAACATGAACCCACCTCTTCTCCGTCACCCTCTTCTACCATAACGATGATGAATTGCCGGAGCTCCAACGCTAAAATGTGCTGGGCTCTCCCTGTTCCTCCTATCCTCCGATTCTCACCACCTTTCCTCCATCCTCCGCCCCTTCTTCTTTAGGGTTTCTTTTGCCCCTCCTAATTTCGCTGCCCGCGCTTTTTCCTACCTCTGACCAATCCATGGCCACGACCGTTTGGCAAACGGGTTTCGCCCTTCTACTGGTCTTCGGGAGGTTAACATGCGCTGAGCCCGTTAGGGTTTCTTCAGTGGAGGTCTGCCCCATGCCGTCCCTGGCGGATTATCTTTTGCTGTCTCGAGATTTATGTGTGGATTCGAGTTGGCTATCAAATGGTGCTGGAGATCTTATCGGTGTCACGGAGGTATTTAGGAGATAATTTATTTTTTTTCTTCCTTTTCTTATTGGAATCATTTTATTTTCTTGATAGCTATTTCCATAATCGATTGTCAATTATGTGGGGTCTTGATAGCTAGTGGAAATGACGTTTGTGATAGTTCATGAGCGCAGCATTTCAAAGACAATGCATCCAGGAAACCCAGGGGGATGACTAAAACTCCTCGTTTGCACTGCCTCTTTTAGCTATCATTATCTAATGGTGTGATGGATTCTAATTAAACTGATCCGGAAATACTTAAATCGAACTTCTCGTGTAAAGATATCAGTATTTCTGTCTTAAACTCTACTTAAACAAGCTATATAGAATAAGTTAGGAAAGAACCACCTCTCAGGGACTAACCCCCTTTTGACATGTTCAGAATAAAAGATATTAGGGTTTTCTCAAAGGAGAGAAAGAAAGAAAACAGAAAAACACATTAAGGGGGCGTTCTACAACATGAATGCTTTTGTTTTCATTTGTTTTTGGAATTTCCACATCAGCAAAAACACAAAAACATCTTCTTGAACTCTGTTTTTTGGAACTGACAACAAGAAAAACGATTCATGTTGTAAACACACCCTAAATTAGAAGAGAAGAAACAATTTGATAAATTGATAAGAAATAGAGGAATGGTGGCTTGTTCCCATTGTATTGTATTGCAATGTTAGATTAGTTTTTTGTAGAACAATAGTTTTTTTTTTCCTTGTAGAACAATAGTTGTAACCCATATTTTAGGAAACATTAATTATCTCAAAATAGGGTTAGTTTCTTTTGTAAGCTAAATCTTTGGCCAAAGATTTGGTTGTAAATAGATTACAAAAAAAAAAAAAAAATAGAAAAAAGAGATTTAATATTTAATCTCTAACTTTTGATTGGATTAAAGTTCAATTAACCAAGTCATTTGGTCATTGACCAAGTTAACATTTTTTTGTAAACAAGTAGTTTGGTGGTGAAATGGACCTGAAATCTTGGTCGAGTGATGGGTCAATTGATCCAACTAGTCAATTTGACTGGGACTGAAGAATACTGATAAAAAAATGTTTTAAAAACTGATTGGAACCACATTTCCCTCGCATATCATTTTTTTTATAAGCTTCCCTAACATATCATTTTGCTTTGGGCTGGAGTGATTCCATTGCAGAAGGGGATCGTCAAGTGATTATTATATTGGTTGGACAGTGGAAAATTTAAAGGGATCTTGGACTCTTAGACATTTCACTAGAGAAGACAGGGAGTTTACTTCTAGGTTGAACAGCTTGTTTGGATACTACCTAACCAGGCAATGACCTTGCTGACTGTCCAGCAAGGAGTGGATTTGGAAGAGACAAGGTAGATTGGGGGTCCAGGGGCTTGGTTGCAACAAGACTATTTGCCTTTTATTCCTTCTGGTATATTTTGTTCTTTTTTTTTCTTTTGATAAGTCCGGTATATTCTCTTATTTTACCCTAATATGTTACAAATGAAGGAGAATAGACTAAGTCTAGAAGTGTGATATATTGCAAGTTGAAGGGTCTAGAAGACCAGAGGGACAGACCAAAAAGGATGTGTTGAAGTGGTAGGAAATGATTTGAGGGCTTAGTTTAAAAATGGACATGGCACTTAAGAGATGGCCAACCATTTAGTTAAGTTCTGTTTTTGTATGATTAATTGATTATGTATTATCAACTCTCAGCTGTGTAATTTTCTGTGCATAGATACTAGTTCTGAAGGCAGCCATTATTATATGTTTTCTAGTTGATTAGACTACTTTTGCTTGTTTTTTATGATAAAAAATATCCTTTACATTAATATTGTATTTTACTGTCTGATGCTCATCTTAAGGAAGTTTATGACAACCCCATGCATTGTGAACATATATGGGCATGTTCCAAACTTCCAATTTATCTGCCACCTGGTATATTTTTGATCAATCTTTAATTTTCTTTTGTTAAGGGGGATGAGGTCTCATTGCAGAGAGCACTCAATCTGGTTCACAAGAATGGTCATGAATATATATCTTTGCTTTTCCATGCATCTTGGTGCCCATTCTCTAGAGCTTGTAGACCAACTTTCAGCATTCTGTCTTCCTTGTATCCTTCCATCCGCCATCTTGCTGTTGAAGAATCTTCAATCAGACCAAGGTTTGGGCAAAAAAGAAAAAAGAAATCTTGTTTAATATTTTATGAACTCTACTCGTAGAAACATATGCATTGACATTGACAGACTTACTGCAGCATACTCTCAAGGTATGGAGTTCATGGATTCCCAACCCTCTTCCTACTGAATTCCACCATGCGGGTGCGGTATCAAGGTTCTCGGACACTCAATTCTCTTGTTGCTTTCTACAATGATGTTACAGGTTGGACTGGCTCTTCAACTCTTTTTGTTCAGGTTTTTTAATCTCTTATAGGTTAAAAAATAGCTCATTTTATTTCCTATTTTCATAAATAAAGTCTTCAGATATTTGGAATTATTAAATTTTAGATGTCATTGATGGAACATGAACCATTTATATTAAGGCTCTGTTTGGTTCATGGGAATAGTGGTCTGGAGCTATTCCGATTCCAACTGTTTGGTTGGGCGGAATTGGAATCCCATTCCCATTCCTGCTGGAATGGCATTGGGATAATAGCATATAAGGGCAACTTTTGAGGTTTAATATCAATAAAAGTAATATTTAAAAAAATCAAAAATAGATTAACTTTTTAAAAATAATATCAATAAAGGGCAAAAACACTGTTCATTATCTTCTTGCCATTTGTTCATCAGCGCCGCCGTCCACTGCCGCCCGCCACCGCCTCCGCCTCCGCCCATCTCCGCCTCTGCCTCCGCCTCCGCCAACGTTGCCGGAGGTGACCAGAGGCATCGCTAGTGGTCATTTCTCTGCCCAACGTTGCCACCTCCGCCACCTCCGCCACCTCCGCCTCCGGCAACGTTGCCAGAGGTGGGTGGAGACAGGTGGAAGCGGCGGTGCTGGGCAGAGGAATGACCACCAGCACCACCGCCACCACCTCTGTCTATGTGGTGGAGGCGGTGCTGGTGAGCAAATGGTAAGAAGAAGATGATGAACAGTGTTTTTGCCCTTTATTGATATTATTTTTAAAAAGTTAACCTATTTTTGATATTTTTTTTAAATATTACTTATATTGATATTAAACCCCAAAAGTTGCCCTTATATGCTATTACCCCAATGGCATTCCCCCATTTGAGGGTATGGCCATGGGAATGAAATCCCATTCCTGCTCACTCCCATTTTCATTCCCATTCCTGTCTGAACCAAACAGACTATGGGAATGGACCATTCCGATTCCGATTCTGACTGCGAACCAAACGGATCCTAAGATCAAACTTTCATCTGCCGTGTGGAACTCAATGAGCACATTCAATTAGGGATGCAAGCGGATCAGATTCCGACACTGTTCATGTTGGATCCAATCCGATCCGAAGATCTGATAGGACTCGATTTGAATTCAAATCCTATCAGTAAGTTGGATCTGATCCGATCCAACTTGTATTCTTTAAAAATTAATAAATTATGAAAAGAAAAATAAAATATACTAATTTAAATCAAGTAAAACAAAAAAATACAAGTATTTTTTAATTATTTTCATCACATATATACATGTTTTTTATAAAAAATAAATAATATAATAAATTTATAAAAATATATTTATAAATAAATAACATATATATATATATATAAAATAATACATCGGATTGGATCTTCTCAGATCGGATAGGGGGTGATCCGAATCTGGTCTGATTTATCATTTTATCTGATCCGATCCAAAGATCTGAACGAGGTGACTCGAATTCGACCAAATACATGATCCGATCTATTGCACCCCTACATTTAAGTGTTTGTTTAGAGCAGAGAGGGTCTCTTTCTGATTACTAATTAGGCTATGATTTTGGGCCACTTTCAATTACTTCTGTCAACTTCATGGTTTTCAAAACCGGATTGGATGGTTGGACTGGAAAACCCGGGAACCGGTCAGGTGACTGGTTTCGGTTTTCCCCAAAACCGTTGATTTTGGTCAGCAAACTGCTGACCCAGGCAGTTAACGGGTTGAACCGTTCGAACGGTTTTAACCCTTTATTTTAATTTTTTTTGTCAAAATGGGGTTCGAATGGTCGGACCGTTCGACCTGGTAACCGGATCCCTGACCGTTTCGGTCTCCGGGTCGTTTTTAAAAACCATGGTCAACTTGCTATCATGTGCCACCATCTGACTACTACCTGCCTTGCTTAATGGTGTTGAAGAAATCCACATGTTCTTTTGTTAAGTAGGTTAAAAACATTTTATTCTTTCTGTATATTTTGGTTGTGTTATCTTTCTTGTTCATATTGTTACTTAGGCTGTGTTTGGTTGCAGTGCAAATTTATTTGCACTAGTATAAATGCATGGAAGTGTAAATGTAAAAAATGCAAATTCTTGTTTAATTTTGTTTTGGATTTTACTTTATTCTGCTTCATGTCTTAATTAACTTCATTTATACTGCAATCAAACAAAATAAGCTAAAATTTGAAACAAAAATAGGTTAAAGAATTTACACTCAAATCATTTGATCTGCCATGGTTTTGCATCAGTGCGAATTTATTTGCATTGCAACAAAACACAGCCTTATAATCAACCATAAAAAAATATTGTTACTTCTAATCATTTCCCTGAAAATTGATTTTGTGCATGTGCTTGAATCTAGGCATTAAGCCAGCATCACTAGATGGAACATCCTTGGAAAAAATTGAGAACCCATCAAATCTTGCATATCTTGAGGACCCTGATCTGGAAGGTTGCCCATTTTCATGGGCAAGATCCCCAGAGAATTTGCTTCGGCAGGAGACGTATCTGGCACTGGCCACCACATTTGTAGTCCTGAGGTTGCTTCACTTCCTTCTCCCAACACTGTTGGCATTTGTTCAGCATGCTTGGAGAAGGTACGTTCAGAATGCGAGTTTGATGAGCTTGTGGAAGTATCCCCTGGCGTATCTCAAGCATGCAATACATGTATTTAACGTACCAAAGGAGCCTTGTAAGAGGAACAATTTGCAGGAAGGAGCAATGAGTGCCAGGGCATGGGCATCAAAATCACTGGCATCTGTTTCCATTGGTGATTCAAGTTCTAGCAAGGGATATTTAGGGAAATAAAAGGTATTGAGAACCCTTCAATTTTCATGTGTAATTGAGATCCCTACAAATGTGCTTCCTTGCAATATAAGCTTTTCTGGTTCGAGGTAGAGATGGTTGCTCCAATTGGGGCTGGGGATAAAAGTTATACTTTTTCCATTGTAGTGACCAAGTTTTTCAAATGTGTTTATATATGATCATAAAGTTCATGTTCATGAATAGGTTATATGGAATACCGTGCTGGCAAATGAATTCTAGGCTCTGGTTTTCCATTTTCCCAACCATGGACGTGGATATGTTTATGGGGAGTATATCCAACACGGGTAGCACTTTAAACTTTTCATATTTTCTGGTCTTTTCAGCCAGTATCTTATTTTTTTTACCGGTATCATTAGGGAAAATTCCTGATCAGTATCTTGTACTTTGGCTTGAGTAACGATTTGGTTCCCGAGTTTTAAAATGCAACAATCCAGGGCCCAAACTTTCGAAATGCAGCAATCTAGTACTTGTCAATTATAGATTGTCAGTTATGTATATCACGTGACCTCATGTGCTATTTAAGATTTTTGAAAATGTCAAAATTGCCCTTAGAAATAAAACACATTGTTCATCATCTTCTTCCTCAAGAAGATGAAACAGAGTCTAAGCTCTTTGTCACAAACACTTGCAATGATTTTGCCTTTCTCGCAAAGTCATTGTAAGTCTTTGCCAAGAACAAAACATTTCAAGTTTTATACAACTTATTTTTATTTTTCGTAACACAATATTTTATTCTTACAGGTAAAAGAGAGAACAACCGGAAGCCTTGTCTTGATCAAGGTTCTAAATATCGATACGCAATGGCCTGTATCAGTGCTTTTTTGTGTTTTATTTATTTATTTTTCAAAACCGGTTCAGAGGGGTCGGTTTAAGTCCCAGCTATCCTCTGAATCATGACCTTACCCGATACATCTCCTGTAAGGAAGGCCCAAATATGATACATATCAAATGATACGAGCCGATATGTAACGATATTTTGAACCTTGGTCTTGATACTTGAGAAAGAGATTAGTGATGGTGGCTGGAGACTTTTCTCTTTTTGGATAAGATAATTATAGTAGTTAAAGAAAAGCTTTTCTCCCAAAAATTGCTTTGGTTTTGGTCTGAAGATGATGAAATATTTAGAGAAGAAAGACGAAAGTGTTGTGCAGGGATGAAAACTTTGACGGTTGGTTCTGATTTTAGCGGATGGTTGATAAAGAAAATTAGATGACACTTGAAGGGCATTTCCACCTTTTCACATGCCACTTAGACTGGTTGAGTGGTACTGATTGAAAGTTCAGGTACTGGATTGTCACTTAACAGTATGTACTAGATTGTCACGTTTCAAAAGCTCAGGTATTAGATTGTCACATTTTAAAGCTTGGGAACCAAATTGTCACTGTGACAATTCAAAGTATAGGGTACTGATTGAGAATTTTCCCATATTATTATATCAATTCACCAATATTAACAGTCTGAAATGAAGTGCCATTCAATTCACTATGATTTTGATTCCAACAGGGAATTATGCCTCCACTCGAAAAGATTCTGGCTCTAGTTGCTCAAGATGCTGCTGGCCACAAGACCACAACCGCACATCGGAAACATCTGATGTCCTTTTTGTTGTCAATTCATTGGGAGATGTTCCAAATGTGAGGCTGCAGTATCTTGTGCACAGGATGTGGCGGGTGTTTGTGTCTCATTTTTAATTTCTAATTTTTGCCTACTGCCAAACATGTTTCAATTTTCATCATGCACAAGAGACATTTCTTATGGTTTTGCTTGGTAGGGATCCGCTGCCAATAAACGCTACCAATCCTATCGCAACAGGCCTCCGCCGCTCACATTGATAACATCTCTCCATTGGCACATGTTTTGTTAGCTGATCCTCTCTTGAAGTGGCAAAGAAAACAAGCTTTTCACGGTCGAATCGAGGGTGCAAAATTATATCCCACACTACTTTAGGCTGAAAGATATCATACATTCCTAGTCTATGTTGACATCAAGGTTCAACATAATAAATCAAATTTTAATAGAATATATAAAGAGATACATTACAATCAACAACATTAAAACTTCAGTTAAAATATCATCAAACAATACCAGAGCTTCCGATTTATGATAGACCCATCTCATATAGTTCTCTATTACTGAAAGCTTGCAAAAAATTCATTGACAAATTATTATGAGATGAGTTTAATATATTTTTCATTCATCCATATTATAATTCTTCCTTAATAAAACATCATTCATTAAAAAAAAAACTTAATTTTTATAATCATGGACGTTTAGTTGCAGTACAACTACAGCTAAAATTTTAGTGCAATCAAGATCACCCCGGTTCACCACTACAAGCCTTCAACAACATCCATATCACATGCCCATTACTTAAGATCCCACCAATAGGAAGGCGTGTCGTATCATGTCAAATGAACCACGGTTGAAGATTGAAAAAGAGTGTAAAAGCTCAAATGGATAATCTCCATGGCATAAACCAAGCCGTTCATTTCCAGCTTAAATCTCCTTTAATGAATACATTAACTGATTAAAGATGTTGAATTTTGTTAAAATTTCTCATTTAAAGCGAATTATCAGAAATTTTCTTAAATAAAATTCATAGGAAAGAAAAGGCAAGTAATCTAAATGTCTTTTTAAAATTTTCTTCATACTACTATATTAAATCACACATACAGACAGCCAATATATGTTGGAAATCATTTGGACCCTTTTTCTGGGTTACTCGGGAAAACCATTGATGGTGCACTGCTGAGGCTTTGCCAAGTAGAGATACCAACGATGTAAATGCAATTGTGAATGTTCAATTGATGTAGAGTGTATCTATAGACAATACATCTTACTCTTCCATATCATTTGTTCCACTTATAAAAAGAGATACTCGCTAGTTCTAGTGTCCTCATCTTTAGTAGGTATGGACGTACGGTATCTTCCGTAGCATCAAATCAGCCCATAGAGCCAGCAAGAATTCTTCTCAATTGAAAAACACAACACGGCCTCGATAAAACGTGCAAGTATAATAAATACATTCGAGTTCTGGTAGAAGGTCCAGTTGGTTGCTTGTCTAGTTGAAGAGCTACAATGTAGTAGGATGTTGAAAATTTTGGCACTTGTCTTTTGGTGTTCATGTCCATAGGATCTACATTTGACACTAGTCTTCTAGTGTTATATACAATGACATTGCTTGCTTCTACTAAACATACTGCTGGACTGGACCAAGAGGATGCTTTAAAAAGTGAGTAATCAGATTGCTCTCTACAAATATATTAAGTGAAGAGGGATAAATATCCAAGTTGTATTTTCAACATCTACCTCAGATAATGACCGAACAATTTGCAACCTATGAATCGAAGATGGAATGTCAGTCAATTTCCGTGGAAGCAGCATCTTTCTTCACAATCTGCAATAAAATTTTTTTTTGCAAGAATATTTTATACAAATGTAAAACATGAATTAGAAAATGGTCAAAGGAACCATCACTAAAGAGTAAACAGCCTACTTGTTGAATTTCATTACTAGAATTGCACACTTGCACAGACACAGACACAACGCACACATTTATGTCACTACGAGAGGACAAAAATGACCAACTTGTTTTAACTTTTTTTTTGATAATTTAAATAATATACATGTAATGTGATTTGAACCTTCACCACTTGTGTAAACAACAACCAATATTACCACCAAGGTGAATCATCAAAAATCCCAGGTGAAACCCACTATTTAACTGGTCTTACTGAAGAAATTTAGACACCAATACTCAGCCCAACTAGATTCCCATGAAACACCAACTTTTCATGTAAATACTGATTATAACCATAAATGTCATTCTCAGAAAGCATGTCAGGGATAGGGATGTCAATGGATCGGTTTTGGGTTGGATCCCATCCAAACCAAAATCAATTTGAATGGATTGGACGGACCAATAAGACATTGAATTGGACCAGTCCAGAATTAATGGTCCAAAGTATTTATGGGATTGGATTGGACCTGGTCCATCAATAATGAATTTATATTGGATTGGGTTGGATTGAGCCAATATCTGGTCCATTGATGGAAGATAAGAATATAGATGTCAACGGACCAGGTTTGGGTTGGAACTAATCTAAATTAAGTTGAATTTGAACAGATTGGATGGTCCAGACATTGAATTGGACCGGTCCAAAATGGTCCAAAATATTCATTGAATTGGATTGGACCTGGTCCATTGTAATGGACTCACATTGGACTGGATCAGATTGGACCAAATCCAGTCCATTTGACACCCTTAGTCAGGGATATGAAACCCACCATTTCAATGGTCTTTCTGAGGAGATCTAGACACCAATACTCAACCCAACTAGATTGCTATGACTTGAATTTTCATCCTGTAAAGAAATACAAGCTAGGTAAAGTAAACAGAAAAACCTAGCACACTTGAGTTATATAACTAGGCTACTTTTCAGCTTTAGAGATAAGAGACCTATTTATTAGGAACCTGCAAAATTTCTTATCTTTTTCCACACCAGCTCTTCAAGGGAATTTCTGCCACTTTTATTGAAATAAGTTTCATATAAGACTGTTGCTTTGTAACTTTAAGAGATAGGGATTTTGTATTTCCTCAAAAGAAACATATCAGACCACAAAACAGAACTGAAACCGTCAATTGCCAACTATAGATGCTTATCTTAAGCATACCTGTGATATGTGTTCTCTCACTCTCTGGCTAACTGGGCCATCTAATGCTCTCTCTGCAAGTTCATAAAACAAGGTATTGCCTTCTGGCCCATTAACTTTGTTCTTCTGCAAGTACCTAAAAGAGAATAAAGAGTCTAAGATAGAAATCTATGGTCCACAAGAAGAACATTCCAGAAACATGAAAGCATTATGCATATATAATGGATGCTACTGAGACCATTCTAACCTTTGTTGGACAAGTGTCTCCAGTGCCTGCTTGATATTTCCAAGAACTGGATGACTTTCATCAGTTTCAAATAATCCTAAGCGCCTCAAATGATGCCACAGATTCTCTGGAATGTCTCCACAATTCCAGACAAAATCAAATCAACAAATGGACTTTGGGTAGATACATATATGTATCAGGATGGAGGTGAAAAGTGCAGGTGTTGCAAGTACAAAGCACAAGATTTCTAGTCAAGGACAAATAAATAGATCTGATAAACTGCATTCTTTTTTTATTGATGTGATATACCGACTTAATTTAGGACAGTAAAAGTAAATTTGCAGAGGGTGAAAAATGTCCAATAAACAGGTTGTATCTCCAATCAGGTCAAAACTTTGACCTAGAATATGTCAAAGTGGGATATTAGAAGAAACAAGTACCAATGCAAAGTTAGCACCATTTTTTTTTATCAATAAAGTTAGCACCATTTGTCTTAACATACTCTTTGTAAAATGCAGACCAATGCCTAACTGAATTATCCATATGAAAAAAAATACCTTCTGAAATTTTGCCCCCTTCAAGATGTACAATACTGACAACAGCAAAGGTAAAACCAGTCAGATGTGAATTCTGTGTATCCTCAATGTAATTTCTGTATGCATCTGCAGGTAGCTGACTAAAAATAACATATGATTTGGCTTCAGCAGTACCTGGATCCATTGAATAGAAACTATATATTAGATTCAATAAGGTAAAGTAATGCATGAAAATTGGCTTAGTTGTTCAGACCACCAAATGCTCCTCATCAACTAGAGCTGAATAGCCTTTAGCTTAAAGAGTTCACATGGATTATAGGATCCCAATCCCTCACTCAGTGAAGTTTTTCAGACCGAGCACTTCAAGTGAATTGGCTCATCAAGGACATCAATGGAAGTGAGGCATCAATTTTACAAGTGACCTCCACATCATGCTGTATTGAATTATGTCGCATCCACACTATGTTCAATTGGATTATTTCTAAAAACAGGGAGTGGAGAAAATTCTTTCCAGCAAAACAATCACATCAAGGTACATCGCAGTTTGAGCCAAATAGAAGCTTAGGCAATATAGCCAAATTGAGTGACACTCGAAAAGAAGTGAGAAGCCACTTTTATTGATGGAAACCAAAACAATGCTCTATTGGATTATTTTCTTGTAACAGAAGATAGATTCTCACTCTGTTGTGACAAACGACCCTGATTTGTTGATGAAGGGCGAGCTCGTTGAAGTTCCTTCATTTCATAACCAAAAATGCTTGAGAGCTTCTCTCTGGCCTCATTTATAACAAGTGAAGGAAGTGCCCTCTGGCGATAGTTTTTAGTTACTAATTGAGTAAGTTCATCCCTTTTGATGGGACAACCAGAAGTCTGATGAATTTTGAAAAGGATATAGCGGACTACTTCTGCAACAAGCTTATCCTTTTCCTGTAAGAAAGTCATTCAGAGGTTACAACACATCAATTCTTCTAACAGAACACATCATATAAAAGAGAAACAGGTCATAATTCAAACCTCCTTGGATATATCAATTTGAGATGAGTCCTCATGGTAAGTTGCCATCCTAGAGGGGAAAAAACATATCTTAAAAATTGTTTAGAAACTCAATTAATATCTTCTTTTTGAAAGAGATTGTGTGACAACCATATGGAGAAGAGTTTTGTAATGTCCAGAGATCTTTACAGTAGGGACCCATTAAATGTAAGCAATCACTTCCAGATTCAAAATGTTACTGTTGATTACTAAATAAACTTCATAGTTCAATTGGTTGATCTTTTGCACTGCATCTGTTGTAGAATTCAGCTTAACAAAAATGAGAGGGAAAAGTAGAAAACAAGAACAATTTTGTGAAAATATAAATACTTATGTTTGTAGCCTACACAGTACACACATATATGACACATCTGACTGTGTCATGGAATCATATGTCTACCCATGGCATGTCCACCTTGTGCACCACCCCCATTTCCCCAGTCTCACCCCCAGAGTCAGTTAACTCATTTGCAATCAACCTGCCGTCTAGCTAGGATCTGCCTGTCTTCAACAAAAGCCCCTTGACCTTGGGAGATATAGACCTCATTGCATGCCCCATTTACCAGCCAGCACCTTTGATACGAACTTATACACATCAATTTTCTAAAATGATATGTTTAACATAGAATAAATACATGAAAAGTGTGTGTTCCAGAAATTAGCCCCATGTCCTGTGAGATGGGCATGTAAGATCTTTAAGCAAGGTTCAAAGTATCGATACGATACGAGTTTCGGCCGTATCATATTGGCACTTAGAAATGGCCAAAACTCTATTTTTTTTTAGTTTTTTTTTCAAAGTTTGGTTTTTTGGAAAGCTTATAACCTGTTTTTTATTATTAAAAAAAATTGGGGGTCCAAAACACCTGGAAACAGGTGTTTCGAACCGTATCGTTTTCAAAAGATACGATACGATATGCCCGATACGGGGTGTATCGTATCGATACTTTGAACCTTGCCTTTAAGCTCCCAATCAATCACTCACATTGAAGACTCATTAATGACTTGTACTTTTTTCTCTTAACAAGCTCAGAAACAGAATCAAGAAAATGCAAAATTTTCCTTTAAATAATTTGAAAGATGATAAAAGGGAAAAGACATTGAGTAGTCCAAAAAATATCTTACTTTTTTTATAAGTAATGACCTGGATCAGTGATGATTAATATTCTCTGTGATTCTGGCACATGTTTGTGAGATTGTCATGTAGGGCATACAAGTGTACTGGAAGATGAAAAAAGTTGAAATTAGACAAAACAAGAAGCAAATTTGTACAACAAAAGAAAATTGATCACACAAGAAAGCATAACCATAGTTGCACATAATTTCTCATATATGTTTTTGTGCATTTCTATGCTGATAGTACAATAGCCTAGGATTTTGCAATATTTTTTTTAATGAATAACAGGGAATTTTAATAAAAGATATAAACAACAATGTACAAGTGCAAAAGAACCCTTTATGATTACAATTAAATACATAGAAGACCATGATAGCATAGCCCCTGCTATCTCTCCCCAATTACATTGTAGGATCACTGAAATTACAATTATGCAAAAAAAAAACACATGATTTCTGTTAACCCCTTGCTTTGCTAACATATCAGCCAAGGAATGTGCAGACCTCTATACCCATCCTTTTTTTCTTTTGGCTTCAGGGGGCTACTGGCTACACAATGGGGGGTAGCCCGTCCCCCATCCCCTTAACCCCCTGGTGGCAGCAGGATTTGATCCCAGGTCTCTGCGGCAATGAGTCAGAGATCCTACCAACCTATATGGTTATACCCATCTTATTTTCAATTTCATACTTCTTGACAGCCACTTAAACTGTATGATGATCTTGTTCTTAAGAAATCCATATTCCAGAAAGCTCTCTCCTAATTCAGCAACCAACTTATCACCACCTTTGAATCACCCTCAAAGATTAATTTCTCTACTCTCATCCCCATAGCTGTTTGTGCCCCATAAATTGCAACCATAAGTTCTACTCTTATTGAGTTACCTACTCCAATTGGACCCAAATAGAAATGGTCCACTCTATTTCTATTCACAACTGTTTTATTTATGCATAAAGATGGAAATTCATGAAGCTTGGCTTCTTTACAGAATTTACTATCATAATTTCTTTGGTCTTGGGTTTGGAATAATGTTATCAATGTTTGTGCTAAGTCCAACACATAGAAGCATCATTGAACAGTAAATCAATGATTCAGAACTATTTATCCCTTGGTGGAAAAAAATTGAGAGGGCTTAACCCTATAAGAAATGTATTTTTCCAAAATAACCTTTTAGGTAATTTCCTTAGATTCTGCCATCAGTTCCATGATGTAATTAATTGATGATGACAAGTGTTCTTGTTTGATCTTAATGGTATTTTACAGCTAGTTCTGTATCATCTGTATGAATTCCCATTGTATATAATATGGTCCTATGCATTTGCAGGATATTGAATTATCAAAAGAGATAAATGAATCATTCAAGCAGTCATCCCAAGCTAGGACAACACTCCCTTCGGGTATCGAAATGAGTGTTCATGTCTTAACAACTGGGTAGGTCTTACTTTCTCCAATTTAGTATTTGTAAACTTGGTATAATACATTAAGAGCACAAGTTAACACTGCTACACAAGTTCAATTTCCAAAAAACTTGTAATTTTGGTCTGGTAACTGTGTACAGGTACTGGCCAACATATCCACCGATGGATGTACGGCTTCCACATGAACTGAAGGTATACCAGGTTGGTGAAAAATGGTTTAGGAGTTATACCTTAGCAATTAAGCTACTTTGTGTTTACCCACCATCTCTTTTATCTTTCATGGTGAGACAGGACATTTTCAAGGAATTCTACTTGAGCAAATACAGTGGAAGATGCTTGATGTGGCAAAATTCTTTAGGTCATTGTGTATTGAAAACTGAATTCTCAAAAGGCAAAAAGGAGCTGGCAGTTTCATTATTTCAGGTTGGTCTTTTCTTAGATCATTCACTTTTTTTTATATTTTAGTCAAGAACTATATTTTATTAAAGATCAAAAGCTTACAAAGCAAGAACTGGGTTGGTCTTTTCTTGGATCATTTACTTTTTTAAATATTTTACTCAAGAACTAGATTCTATTGAAAGATGAACATGATACTAGTGTGCTTCAAAGAATAAGCTATGTAAATGTCAATGCTTACTAAGCAAGGGAAAATACCCAAACAAGAATACAGGAAAACAGTACTAAGCTTGTACCTACGAGCTCCAATGGGGTATCTTTCTCCTACCAACTTCTCATGCAAGGAAATGAGATACAGAAATAGCAGATCTTAGTTCTGATCAGTGTGGTTTGCAATACCAGTGAGATTTGGTGAAATATCCCTTTTTTACTAGGGGGCAATATGGAATATTCCTACCATCTTTCTTATATTTCATTAGAATTGTCAAAAAATATTTGAAAATATTTTCCTAAAAGAAAGTTGGATGATTGTCTTTCTATCTTGAATGTAGTCCATTTACTCAGGGGCCATTTGATAACAGTCGACCTGAATTGAATGACTTACTGTTTTGCCTTATAATAGATAAAGTAATTGAATAATAAAATATCTGGGGGTATGGTAATCTACCCAATAACTAACAAACTGTCAGTCTCCACCAAAATCTAACAAACTACCAATCTCCTTCCAGTTGTACCATTTCTGACTTTTGTTTCACATGAAACTCTAAAAACTGTTCATCAATGGTGGAGCTTCTTCAACTTCGAACTAATAACACTCCTCTTTCGGAAAGAAAGTACAAAGGGAGAAGATTTCAAGTCCAACAACCGACAAAAAGAAATCTATATACGTTGATTCAATTCCAACCAAATCTAATATTTATCATCAATGTTAAAATCAAATCTCAGGGCTTTTTCATCAACTTAGGATAAAAGAACCTAGCAGCAGTAAAAATAAGAGATACCTTTGCCAGAACGAAAACTAAGGAAAACTTACCTCGCCGTGGTCTGGTCTGGTCTGCAATACAAAGACAGAGGAAGAAGGAAAAAGAGTGTGAGAGAGAAGGAAAGGAAGTTGAAGAAGTGGAGAAGAGAGAGAGCAAAATCGACGGTGACTTACTTGAGAAGGGTTTGAGGGCTATTTTTTTGTTTATGTTAAGAAGCGGGAATGGGATTCCGATTTCTAGGGGTAGGTCGGAATCGAATTTACATCTGCGCCCCACAGCGTATCCCAACCGTGTATCGACAACATCAATCAATAACAAAGATATTCTCAATACACGCTGAGATGTATATCTAGTACGTTTGTGGGGGCATAAATGTGATCACGTCAGGATCGGAAATAGCCATTCCTTAAAGGTGTAAATTGGGTCGGGCCACCCACGGCCTACGGCATGAAATTGGACCGGCTCAGCTCAGTCCAGCACGACAGTCCACACCAAGCCCAGCATGGCGCATCACGAGTCAGCACGACACAGCCCATAGGGCCCGTAGCGAGCCACGCTCAACCGGCCAAAAACTAGTCGTTGGGCCCCCCCAGTAGCTATAAACAGCTATATAGGGGGTATTTATGTATTTTGCTTATGGTGGGGAGAAAAAAATGACATAAATGCCCCCAACAATTATATAACAATTAGTTTAGGGAGGCTTTTTTGGTAAAGTAATAAATAAGTTTACAATGATAAAAATACCCCTTCCAACAACTAAAAAACAACTAGTTTTTAGGGTATTTTAGGAAATTGAATTATGTTCAATTCCTATAAATAGCTCTATCCTCCACCAATCTCATCACACCAATTCAACAATTTTCTCTCTCTTTCTCTCTCTCATACTCATACATTCTCAATTCTCTACAACCTGAGTAATTCTAATTGGTTGATTGTCTGATTCTCCAATTCTCAAGTCTCAACATTATTGAAGTTTCAACTTTCAACAAGAAGGCTTGCTTAACCAGCTCAAGTATCTCAATTTGCGAGGCTTGGACGTTGAAAGGCTTTAACCGTTGAAATCAAGTTGGGATTCTGAACTAGCAATCCGGGTAAGTCCAATTAAATTAATTTTTATCCTTTTAGAATGAAAAAAAAAATGGTCGGCTCTTCCGAAAACCAATTCCCCAACATGTTCACTGTTGACAATATTCAATCACATCATGATAGCGTTAGCACTGATGTTATTGATATTGATGGAAGTGGAACTTTCACCCTTAGTACTGATACTAGGGGAAAAAGGAGGGCTTCTAAGTTGAGTAGCCCAGTTTAGAAAATTTTTAAAGTAGATGATATTGAAAGGAAGGGAAAAAGAGCGGTTTGTTAAAAATGTAGAAAATACTTTAATTATTGTAGCAAGGGTGGTACGAGTAATTTGAACAGACATTTGCTCACACATGAGAATGAAGAAAAAGAAGAAGCGAGAGAAACAACACAAACACAAATTGGGAATGAGAGTTTTGGTACATTTAAATATTCACAAGAAAAAATGAGATAAGAATTAGCAAAGTATATTGTACATGCAGAACAACCATTTTTATTAAATGAAGATCCTAAGCTTGAAAAGATGGTTGCATAATTCTATAAATCCACAATATAAAAAAGTTTCTAGGAATACTATTATATCGGATGCTTTAAAAACTTTTTATTCATATAAAGAAAATTTAATTTCTTTGTTATCAAATCTTAATTTTAAAGTTGCAATTACTTCTAATGTTTGGACATCTAAATTTAACATAAATTATATTTGTGTTACCAACCATTTTATTTATGAAAATTGGCTTTTAAATAAAAGAATTTTAAGTTTTACTAGGCTTGAATGGCCACATACTTGCCTAGATATTGTTTCAAGTATTTTAAATACTTTGCATACTTATGGAATAGAAAATAAATTATTTTCTATTTGCTATTAGTTTTAATAATGCCAACAATAGTGATTCTGCAATAAATATTTTAAAATCTCAATTAAAATCATGTTTAAATTGTAAATTATTTCATATCAGATGTGCATGTCACATCTTAAATTTATGTATTCAAAATGCTTTGAATATTATTTCTACTCATATTTCTAAAATTAGAAATTGTATTATATATATTAAAAGTTTAGGAGCAAGGAAACTAGATTTTAAATATTTATCTCAAATTATGGTTTAAAATATAAACATTTTATATTAGATGTAAAACATATATGGAATTCTACCTATGCTATGTTAGAAAGTTGTATTTATCATAAACAAATTCTTGCTGATTTTTATAATGCAAAAATGTCTAATGATATTATATTTGAGGAAGACTAAGAAATGGTAGTTTGTATAAGAGATTTTTTAAAACATTTTTATGATGCAACTAATGAATTATGAGGTATTTATTTATCCAAATAGTTGTAATTTACCTTATCAATTAATGGTAATTAGTGATTGTTTTGCAAGATATAAAAATAATCCACAATTTCAATGTATTGTTGAAATAATGGAAAATAAATTTAAAAAATATTGGGAGAACATTTCTCCCCTTTATTGTTTAGCTACAATATTAGACCCTAGGATTAGGAAAGATGGCTTACATATTTTACTTAAATCATATTGTGAAAATATGAATATTAAAATTGGAAATAAAAAAGAAGAAATTAATAATTTATTATTTGAAATGTATATATTATATGAATCTCAAATAGTAGGAAATATTCCTACAATTTGTACATAATCTTCTACTTCTGATGTTGAGCCTAGTAGTAGAAGAGAATTTTTTTTTATTTAATAAGTAAAAAGCAGAAATCTACTACTTCTACAACAAGTTCATTTACTGAACTTAATTTTTATTTACAAGTAAATTTTTTTTAGTTTAGGTGAGGGAATAAGTAATTTTGATATTTTAGCCTGGTGGAGTGAACATTCAAAAGATTATCCAATTCTCGCCTTCATGGCACGTGATCTACTAACCCCTCCAGTGTCTATAGTTCCATCGGGGTCTTGTTTTGGTGCAGGTACCAATGTGTTAGACGACAAGAGAAGCTGCATGAACGATGAAAGTATAGAGATGTGCATCTACTTTAAGGATTAGCTAGATGCAGAAGATAGATTACAAGACAAAGGAGGGCATGATACTATACCGAATATTTCACCTGAAGCAGATGATAAAAGTCATGATTCATGCAGTTGACTAGTTGTATAGAATTTTTATTTTTTCAAATTATTGTAATTTTATTTAATTTATTTACTATTTTTTAATTTTTAACAATGTAATTTTGTATTTTCAATTTGTAAATATATTTAATTTTTATATTTTATTAATTTATTCCATTTTCATATTTCATTTATCCAAGTATCCAATGATCCAATCATTGTATTTATAATTTGTATCATTCAAATTTAAATGAAATAAAATTCCTATTTTTCTTCTAATCTATTATTTCATCATTCTTATTTCAATTTTGTTAAGTATTTTTTTTTCATTTATGTGTTAGATAACTTAGATTTCTCGTTTCTTAATTTTTCAAATAATTCCTAAAGTTCAAAGGAAAGTTAAATATTTTAATTTTACACTTTTACTTAGAAAAGAAGTCAAAATAAAAAAAAACATAAAAAAAAGTAAAAAAAAAAATCAGTTTAGCCTGATTCGGCCCAAGCCTGCCTTGTGGCCCAGCCCAGCATGGCCCAAGCCCACAGCACGACCTACAGCCCGGACTGACCCCCAAAACTTTACACCTCTACTGGCATTCCCTCATTCCCTCAAATGCGGAGAGAATCGGATTCCGATTCCACCCAACCAAACGCCTGGTTCCATTCGGATTTTGATCGGAGACCCCTATTCCTGCAAAGTGCAAACCAAACAGGGCTAAATCTTTATTTATTACGTTCTGCGGTGGCTACTGGGTAACCGCAGCTAATTAGTGACGTGCGGTCAAAATGCCAGTACAGTGGATCTATCCTCTTAGAAATAATGATGTGTATGACTTGGGCCTTCTCTAGGTTAAGCTTTCAAATAATGATTATCAAAATCAAAGGTCTAATATTCGTGGCAGGCAATACTTATTTTGTTTTGTTGTTTTTATGGCATTGACCTTGCGCTGCTGGCCAATGCCTTATTTGGTTCAAAAGGGTTTACACTAGCAAATCCACCTCCTAATAGTAGAAGCTACTTTAATGCAAGGTTCAAAATATCAATAACCATCAAAGTATGTATCATATATAGGTTGTATATATTACTCTAATTCAAGGTTCCAAATATCAATAACTATCAAAGTATGTATCATATGTAGGTTGTAATGTTGTATATACATACCAGAGTATGTATAACTATCAGAGTATTTACACATCCACCCCCAATATGCTAAATACTAATGAGGTAGAACATCTAACCACTAGGGCTGTATATAGGTTGGTTCAGTTCAGTTGTACATAATTTTCTTAATCGAATTGAACTTCTCGGGTTGAATTTTCAGCCAATTGAAACCAACCAAATGAGTATAAAAACTAACTTATTATCTGAGCAGTCAAGTTTGTCGATTTGGTCAACTTAAAAAACTCGAGATACAAAAGATTGTATAAATGTTAAGATACCAAGTCATAGAGAACCGGACCTTAGGGGAACCGAATTGTGGGGCATTTTTTGGAACGAAATTGGCACTATCGGTTTTCGGAAAATTGGTAATGGAACTGAACCAAAGCTAGTTGGTTAACCAGTTGATCGGTTCGATTAACCATCGATTCGGTTCGTTGGTTTTTCGGTTTTTTAGTTTTTACAATATATTATAAATATATATATATATAATAAAAATTATAAATATATAAAATATTATATTTTAAATAATATATAATATATAATATTATAAATATATATTTTTATATAATGTCTATTTATTAATTTAAAATATCTATAATATACATAAATATATGTACCTTCAGTTTTTTAAAAACACCAAACCGACTGGTTCAATTAACCAATTTTTCGATTCAGTTATTCGGTTTTTTTTTTCTTCACCCCTACTGGACCTTTAAATCTTGTAAAACAAACTTGCAAATCAAATAAAGGTAGATCACTAAACCATCATCAT